CGTCTGCCATATCAGTTGCCATGATTCTCAGCATCAGACAGTGGACGAATTCGCATTAAGTCGCGCTGACAACAAGACCGAGTTGTGACAACGAGGTCAACCAACTTCCATAAATCGAAAAGAGACTGCGACCATACCAGAAGCCATACAACATTTTGGTCTTCATATCTTCTAATAAGCTAGTATGTTATTCAATGTGAAATATGAATAATCTCAATGGAATTCTGGCAAACCCCAGTTATGTTGCCCACTAATTTTATTCAAACTAGTTCAAGTTCTATTTCATAAATGAAACTAGGCTTGCTTTGCTATGGATACCATGCTTACTTTCTGGTTCACTAGCATGGGACCATGTAGTCGAGAGGGCAAACTGTCCTACCATTAATTCGAAAGCACCCGAATGCTGGTTCTCACACACACAGTAGAAAGTTATTTAGAGACATTTAAAGTACTATTTAATTCAATTTCTGAGAATAGACCACTTATTATTCTTTATAGTTATGGTATAAAATCACTTTAATTATATAATTTAAGTAAAGTTTTAGAGTAAGAACCAACTCTTCGAATACGAAGACCAAGATAATGTGACCTCTATTTTGGTCGTAATCACCTTTCGATGTATAGACATGGTCTGACCCCGTTTTCGCAAGTTGGTCGTGTTGTCGATGCGACTCAATTGGATGCACCGTGTGTGAAGTGCTCTGTTATCACAGTTATCATATTTCAAAGCGTCGAACCATAGACTTGGTACATTCTCAGACGTTTCGCCAGCATCGTAGTCGGTATCATCAGTAAGTCTTGCCATTCTCAGTATCAAGCTAAAACTCGTCGTTGTGTCCTAATTAAAAAGAGTCTTTGTATTAAAGCAAAAAATATTTCTCTGGGACTTAATTCAATCAATAATAAAAAATATCCTTCCATAGGCTATTGTGTGATTATGATGGAGAAAAAAGGGCTCCTTACTTGAATTGAATATCTAGCCCTAAATCATTTAGTATATTTTATTTATATTATAATTTTACAGTATTAATTTATTAATTGCTCTTTATTCCTCCATATGTAATAGGCAAAATGACACAAAATATTAGGTATATCAAATGTCTGGCCTATGACTTGTTGGTAAATTTTAAGATCCCACTGGTATGTTTTCGTTTGTACTTAATTAATGGATATATTCTGAGGATATCGAAGCTATTCTATGAAAACTAGACTTATTTAAGATTGTTTTAGATGGGGCTAATAAGATCTAATCCGGGTCATGTCTACAATACAGTCCAGATCCATAAATCATCTTGTGTTTGCAGTACTTGAGTCGCCATTATTTACACCTCCTATTTATCAGGCTACCAGATATAAGTCTTCTTGAACTATTTACACAGTATTCTACTGATTTAGTGCTGTTGAGCTAAACTAAAATAGAGACAAATATTGTCTCTTTCCAATGATTTACTCCTTCATATGTACCCCTGGAGTATACTATTGTAGCAATATTTATCTTCTTCTCAAAGCCTAGAAAAAAACGTCATTTTTAGACGCATCTTTATTAATAAAAGCAACTTCCGTCTTCAGAAAATAACAGAGCTCTTTGCTGGACAACTAATCCATATAGATTCATGCTAACTAATAAGTTTGTTATCAAACATTTCTTTTTTTCCTATATAAATTTAATATTACTGCTATAATGAGTAATTCACTAGATGTTGAGACCATCATCTCATCTATTTTATATTTGTCTAATTTACAGGATGTTGGTTAGTTGAATGAGAAATCTACTCATTAATTAGGGCTTGGGTGATTCGCTTATATTATCAATAAATTTGCTCATTTAAGCCGAGAATACTGCAGATTATATGGTGTTGCAAATATCCCCTGGGAAGGAGCTTCTTTTCTTTATATTTAATACAAAATGACGAGGATGGTCGATTGATCTAAAGAGGCATGGAAACTAAAATCCCTCCAATCTTAGCTGTTTTAAAAAGGATGCCTCGAGGAATGAGAAGACAATCGGCCTATTCATTAAAGCTTTTTTGTTAATCATTTTATATTAAAATATTAAATTATAATTTTACACAGTTTACCATTATGAGAAGGTTAATTGTATGCATTCTTCAAAAAGATTAGGCTGACCAATTCTATGGCTAATTCTGAATTACAAAGAGCAAGATCCGAGAAGGGATCTGACCGAATGTTTTAAATAAAAATATACTACTTAATTGTTGAGATTACTTCCATTTCGAGTGAAAGTGTTTGGTTAAGAGATTCGAGGGTCGATTTCATCAGAAGACGACGGCGGATTCCTTTTGAACAGCTGTTGATTGGCTTCACTAGAACATTCATGTTGACACCTTGGATTCTGATAAAAATATGCTAAGCTTTAGACCGTCATATGACGAATATCATCAGAACAAAGTATCCTCTTTACAAAAGAGTTCAAGCCAACGCATCACGAAAACTAACTGACAAATCCCTAAAAAGCTGTATATATACTCTATGTATAACCTATTTGACGAAGCATAGAGTGATTTCGTTAGTTACAGTCATAAATCAACCTCTGAGCATGTACGTGTGTCTGCCTCTGTATGTGTGTGTGCCTATATGTGGTGGCATATGTACGAAACAAGCAGTGATGGCTCAAAGTAATTAGGACAGCATAACTAACGTCTCTTCTTAACCATCAAGATTTGATGACCTTTGTCACCTCATTTATATCTATCTATCTATCTATCTATCTATCTATCTATCTATCTATCTATCTATCTATCTATCTATCTA